GCGCCCAAGCACGGCCTGAAAATGGCGATTAAAAAGTCAAGCCATTTGAGATTCGCTGCATTGACAACTTGAGCAGCCGCAAGGAAGCATGAAAAGCGAGGAAGCTACCAGAAGCCGGAAAGGCCCGTCCCAGCCCAAAGCCACAAACGAAGAAGGCGATCAATCGAAAGAAGGTCAGCAACAACTCCATGGAAAAAGCCATGGAAATCCTGTTGTAGAAGCTGCGGTTCCTTCATTGAAAGAGCCCTTGTCATGGGCTCCTCTGGGAATTCCAAAGCATCCCAGGCAATTCCGGACTCCATCCTGCTGGAAGCCGATGATTGGTTTTGAAGGTCTGTTTGGCAGAAAGGAGGTGCCTAAAGAAATACTGTTTTGGGGGGTTCCTTACAAGCCCTATTCTAGTTACTAAGGCCCCTATATTATATGGCCTTTGGGGCTGGAGTTTTGAAGATGTTTCTTCGCAGCTTCGGATTGGGTTGTCTTCTTGCTGACGCTTCCACCGAGGCAAGAGCGACGCGTATCCGGCAGGCCGTGCTGCTCCCAAATACACGGCGTGGAAACAGCAACATGGGCCACGACACTTCCTGGAATACTGCATGCTCTCTGCAAAAGTGGACATGCTTCTCTTCGAGCTAGCAGCTTCATTTGGAAGTGGTCGCTGGTGGAACATGGTGGATCCATGTTTCTTTGCTTCAGAATGCAGCTGCAAGCTTCCTGCACTGTGTAGGGATTTTGAACCTCTGACGTGCTTTCGATCCACATTAGATCGCCATGCTGAAGCTGCGAATCTTTGGCACCCGTTTTGGGGTAGTTGGAATGGCAGGGCAGCTGAGACGATTGGCAGACGACGACGTGGCGACGGGACCAGCCAAGCCGGCACTTCCTGCAGCTCTTGGGACTGCTTTGCAGCTACGCCGGTGGATGAGTCCGTGTTCAAAAGTATGTCGCACTGCAAAAGCCTCGAGGCTGCCGAAGCCCCAAACCCGAGACCCCAGTCAAAGCCTTGCGAACAACCCGAAAACCCATTAAAACATTTATGAAGAGCTTTAAGCCCTGATCCTCAGACATGTTTCCAAGGCGAGGACACCTTGCGGCGTCCTTCAGCATGTTTACTTTGCTCGCTTGCTTGCTCAGCCATGCATTCTTGTCATGGGCTGCTCGGTGGTGTCATGCCGCACCTGCTGTTTGCAGTCTGTCAAGGAAGACTCATGTCTTTCGTAGTATTTCGTGGTGTTGTTCGAGAATGCATTGTCTCTCCATGTCGCAGAGGTTTGTGCCAAAGTTGGCAGACATGCAGGATTCCAGCAAGTGTGACTGCGACATTGCGCCATGAAGTTTTTCCTTTCGTCCCTGCGCGCGTCCAAGCTCGCAGTCCAAAGCCAGGGCGGGTGCTTTGGCAGCTCCATGACTCCGACTCGGACTCCCCCTCTCTCTCAGTCTGCTTCGCAGCTGCCGTCACGTTGCATGGCCACATGGAGCTCCACTCTGGCGCTTGCGTTGATGTCGAGACGATGCCGGCCAAAGCCACGGTTGGGGCTGCGCTGCGTTGCGCAGAAGGTCCTGGAAGTGCTGGAATCCCTGGAGGACATCCCCAGCCCCCACTTCGTGTCGGGGGAAGACACCAAGTCTGGTGTAATTGTGAAGGGCTCTGATTCAGAGCCTCTAAGCTGGCCCATGGACGTGGAACCATTGCTGGAGGTCTGCACACAGGCTCAATGCGGCCGGGGCTCAGAGACGGTCACGGATCTTTCCGTGCGCAGCGTCATGGAAACTCAGAGGGTGAAGGTGGAGTGGCCCGAGCTGCCCGAAGTCTTGAACGAGGTGGAGAGGAAGTTGCTTCCTGACACTATCCTCCGTGCAGAGTTTGACAAGCTTCTGGTATACAGACCCGGGGATTTCTTCAAGGGCCACAGGGACTCAAAGCGCTCGGACAACCATGTGGCTACGCTCATCGCCATCGCGGGCTGTCCCCACAAAGGCGGAGCGGT